ATGCAGTCCCTTTTCAAGGAACTGTCTGCTTTGCTCCCAAGGGTGGGCCCTGGAGAGCCATATTTCTGTTATGTGACTCAGCACATCTGGTTGGGACAGATTAGATCCGCGCAATACCTGACCCAAACCAGGCCAGATTCTCTCATCCTGGACTTTAGAATTGTGATCTGAAGGCAGGTAAGGGCAGCTTTAAGAGTAGCTCAGTCTTTAGCGCTTAAATTTGAGAACTAGTGGTGGTGGGATGGTATTTGGTACAGACGAGGGAATGTTCTGCCATCTGGTCTGAGAAGCAGAGGTCAATTTGTGTAGAAAGAAGAATGAAGCTGACTCACAAAGATGCAGGGAATACAGTTGGAAAGAGGGCCCTGATGGTTTCGAGTCTCTTCTAGGTCCTGACACATACCTGCCCTTAGGTCCCATGACACATCCTGAATAATAAATAAATTCATGTTTTTCTGCTTAAGCTAGCTTGGGTTAATTTCTATTGTTGGCAACCAAAGACTCCAAATACATCTTGTTAATATTATCTCTGAACTCTATCTCTTCCTCTTTATTTCCACTGCCAGGGCATTCTCACTCACTAATTGCTATATCCCTCAAACATCCTTTAGCCTAAATCCCTTCTAATCCATCCTCTACACTGCTTCCAGATTATTCTTTCTGAAAATCAAGTCTAATCATGTCACTTTTTAGCTTAAAATACTTCAGTGGCACTGCACAGTTAACCAGACAGGAAGAACGTAAAGCATACGTCAAGAGTCCTGGCTCTAGAGTGAGACTGCCTAGGTTCAAATCCTAGTATGACACTTAATAACTCTTAATACCTGTGTGAACTTGGGAGGACGCCTTCACTTCTCCTTTGCCTCAGTTGCTTTATCTATAAAATGAGCTCTAGGCTACCTATGATAATTAAATGAATTAATGTTTGTAAAGCACATGCCACACTGAAGTACTTTAATCAATATTAGCTGTTATTATAAGTTCAAGTTTTGCAGTTTAAATTCCTGGAGAAAATTCCCAAAAAACAGACATCATATCGTGATCTTGCCCCTTTCTACTACTTATGAAGCTCCCCAAAGCTATTCTAAGTCCCTTGCTGTACTCATACTGAACAATTCACAGTTCATATTCTTTTATTCCTCAGTGCTTTCTCACATGTTATTCCTTCTGCATAGAATACCTCCCACCTGTCTCAATTTATGAGCACTGGAGTAACTGATACACAGAAGGGTGATAAATATTCTGAGCTTTTTTTTTTTTTGAGGTGGAGTCTCACTCTGTGCCCCCGGCTTGGAGTGCAGTGGTGTGATCTCGGCTCTGTCTCCTGGGTTCAAATGATTCTGCTGCCTCAGACCCCCCAAGTAGCTGGGATTACACCCAGCACGCACCACCACACCCAGCTAATTTTTGTATTTTCAGTAGAGATGGGGTTTCACCATATTGGCCAGGCTGGTCTCAAACTCCTGACCTCAGGTGATCTGCCCATCTCGGCCTCCCAAAGTGCTGAGATTATAGGCGTGAGCCACCGTGCCCAGCCTCTGAGTTTTTTTTGAAGGCCAAATTGCAAAAATCTATTAGATAGGTTGCAAAGAACCAATTAGATAATGACAGAATAACTGCCCAAATAGTTTGTCATTGTTTCAATTTTCTTTTCCTTAAGTTTCCTAAATGGGTTTCCTTTCTGGGCCCTTTGGGCTGGACGATCCACCGAGAATGTTCCATAACCATCATGTCACATGGAAAATCAGAGGGAACTGAAAGTTTCTCTATTACTCACCTGTGTAGGAGCAGCTTAGGGACTCCCTGTCCTGTGGATCCTGCACACAGGGCTCTACTCCTTGCTCCAGATGAGAGATTAAAGGAGGTTTAGGAAATGGAAATCCTGGTTGCAGAGAAGAAATGTGTGTAGAGTAACATATAACTTAATGCTTAGCCCTGATCCTTCTGTTTGCATATGGAAACAGGAAATAAATGTTAATTTAGAGAAGAGGGGTTTTCAGGGGTCTAGTAACATGTAAAAGAACATGTTTGGGGACTTTCTCAGAAAAGTCACACTCAGAAGGAAAGAGAAGGTTCTGGGAAACAGTCATTTGGGTGTGCTTTCCTGTCTTTTATTTTCTTTTGTTTTTGTTTAGGAGAATGGGAGTCTGTATAGGATGACTATCAGTTTCAGGCACCTAGAAGGTAGTTCATGACTCGGAGTGGAATATAGAACACCTCATAAAAAAATGAGAGGCTTGAGGAAGCAAGAACCCAGGGAAAACAGAAGCTAAGTGTCTCTTTTTCACTCAGACAGACTCTCATTCCAAATCAAAAAACAGCAGCTAGGTTAGCCAAAAATTATCTTGCTATGTAACAGAGGCAACTCAAAACTCTTAATTTTTGGGCAAGATCCTGATGATAAAGAATAGGGACTCTGACTTTCAATATGAGACCTCATATACATCAATAAATAAAGCAATTAAATAATAAAAAAAGAAGGTAGAGAGCATTAAGTCAAGTGCAGGGAATGTCCTTACCAAGTGATACCATGTTCCCATAATTTTCCAACATCACATGCTTATAGAGATGCCTTTGAGCGTAGGTCAGACTCTGCCACTCCCTGTTAGTGAAGTTCACAGCTACATCCTCGAATGTCACTGACTCCTGAAATAATATGCTCCTGTTATCCTGGAGAAAACACCATAGTTTCCTCAGGAAACAGAGGCAGAAGAAAGGAATTTGCAAGGAGGAGGTTTATAGATGTGAAAGGCTCTACCCTTTTGTTGGATATTTACAAAGGAGATGAAAGGGAGCATGGGGTTTTGATAGCAAAAAAAAAATGAAAGAGAAAACAACCCACAAGTGGTTTATCACGCAACAAAATGCTCCTTATGAGAGGGAGAACCCTGATTTAGGAGTTGCACAGCCAGAGAATGCAGTGAAAATAAGGCCATATTTTGGAGGTAGTGATGTATTTTCCAGAAGGAGGAAAGGGGCCTCAGCTCACTTGGGCCTGGCTCATCAGTGTGATATCTGCTTGCAGCAGGTTTCCTTGGCTTCCATCTTTAGTGAAGGCAGGACACTGGGCAGGTAATACAGCTGAGGGAAGATAAGTAAGCCAAGAGTCAATTTAGCACAGTATTACTCCTGCATTCATCTTCTCTTCCTCAAATGTAGAAGCTTCTGCAGCTCTAACCTAGGGTTTTAGGCTACTGCCTTACAGTTTCCTTCCTCTTCATTTTTTTTCTAGTCTCAGCTTCCAGTGTTGGGCATCAGGCCCTGGCACAGCAGCCAAGACATCTCTTGGAAGTACACTCTCCTCCTCTCTCACCTACTATGTTTTCCTGTGCTCTCTGCCCTGGAATAAACTTTCCCCCTCGCCAAACATCTGGTAAAAAGGCCCAAATCACTTACTCCCTGGTTTTGAATAACCCTTCTTCCTGTATTTGAATACTGAAGTCATTTCTTCCAAAACACTTGGGGTAGAAGGAGAGTGAAAGAGTGTGTGTGTGTCTGCACATGTGCGTGTGTACATGTGTGCGTGTTGAACAAAAGCATCCAGAGATGCTTACTTCTTCTGGTAACTTAATGGCTGGTCTACCTCCAGTAGTTTGTTACAAATTTTTTTCCTTACTCTTATTAGAGAAGAATCATTCTTCCCGATTTTGCACCTCTTTCCTACTAATTCCCTAGTACCGAGCTATCCTCCCTACATCAATATAGTATAGCACACACAGCATTTTAAAACGCAAAATAAACTTTATTAAGAATGTCCAAGTGTTCAGGTATAATCCATATGACTGGGTGAGAAGTAGTTTTTATTTTTATTTTTTTTGAGACTTTGTCTCACTCTGTCGGCCAGGCTGGAGTGCAGTGGCACCATCTCGCCTCTCTGCAAGCTCCACCTCCTGGCTTCACGCCATTCTCCTGCCTCAGCCTCCCAAGTAGCTGGGACTACAGGCACCCACCACCACTCCTGGCTAATTTTTTGTATTTTTAGTAGAGACGGGGTTTCACCGTGTTAGCCAGGATGGTCTCAATCTGCTGCCTTCGTGATCTGCCCGCCTTGGCCTCCCAGAGTGCTGGGATTACAGGCGTCAGCCGCCATGCCCGGCTGAGAAGTAGATTCATATTACTAATTAATAGGGCCTGACTTTATTCCTTGCAGGCCAGCTCAATCTTTCTGTAGCTTCAATGTTTAAGGTGCCTTGTTTTTCTTGATAGTTTATCAACACATCCCTAAGTCCAAATCTGAATAATTGCTTTCTGCTATTAAGACACCAGCAGGGTCAAAGTAATCTATTGGTAAGATTTTAGGATCACCCTTTGGCTTTAGACTCTCAAGACTATCATTCCATTTTTACCAAAACCCGATTTTAGAACCAAGCTGATTTCTTTTCACTGAAATTGCCCAAGAAGACTCTTCTTTAGTTTCAGCTACTTACAGCTTTTGACCAAGACCAAGGCTGCATCTCAGTCGTGGTGGTTCCATACAGTTTTTTCTCTGTCTCACTCTAAAAGCTCCGAGTTCCTTTATAACTGTCTCAAAAAGTCTAAACTCACCTGGATGGCACACAACTCACAGAAGACACATGTTTGTGCCTTGTTAATGTTACATAACAGTTCTTTTCCTTATAACATTAATACACTTAAAGCTCTCAATTGGATGTTTTCAACCATTATTTTATTATGAATATTTTCAAGTACATAGAAAAATTGAAAAAATTATATAGTAAATATCCATATACCAATCACTTACATTCCAGAATTTACGTTCTGTGTATTTGCTTTATCACACACTTATTCATTTATCTATTCCTCTATTGTTCATTAATGTATTTTATTTTTTGAATAATTTCAAAGTAAGTTGAAAGCATCAGTACACTTTATCCCTAAACACTTTAACATATATATCATTAACTGGAAGTTCAATATTTGTTTACATTCTTTTTTGAGGTAAAATTTGCATATAATGAAATGCACATGTCTTAAATGTACCCTTAGAGAAACTCTGAAAAAAGCATACCCCTATGTAACTCATTCCCCTCCATATACGTCCCTACTGGTTTTTACCATATCTTCTTCACAACTGGGAAAGTCTATCACTCATAGTGATTCATAAGCTTTATTTTTTAGCTTTAGCTTTAGAAATTGAAAGGTTAGTTATTCCTCTCAAGTTAAAAGTGAATTTAGGAAACAGGCTACATGAAAAAACAACATAAAACTTTTCGTTAGAGCACTATACAGATATTTTGCGGGATGAGATTAATACATTGTATTGTATTATATGATAGGTGGCTATAGAATTTCTGATCCTGAAAATCCACCACAGCAGATTTCAAGATCTTTTGAGAAAAAAAGGACTGGGAGACTCATGCATCCGAGTTTAGCAATAGCTATTATTTTCTATTTCTAAATTTATAAAAAAAGTTATGTTCCATATTATTAATTCTCATTTGTGATCCCTTGTACAGCAGAATTTCAGGATTCTTCCTCTGGATGTTTCAACACTATATCTAGAAACACATTTTATTTTTATTTTTTGCAGGTAACATATACTAAAAAGCTTACTTTTGAATGTGCCTACTCCTCTGTCCAAAAGTCTGTGCCTTTCTGGGTCTGGTTTTATGACTCCTGAATTGCTATATACCATCTCCTAGGTTGCACCTCCAACAGCATTTTTTTTTTTTTTTTTGGAGACAGAGTCTCACTCTGTTGCCCAGGCTGGGGTGTAGTGGCATGATCTCAGCTTGCTGCAACCTCCGCCTCCTGGGTTCAACCGATTCTTCTGCCTCAGCCTGAGTAACTGGGGTTACAGATGCATGCCACCATGCCTGGCTACTTTTTGTATTTTTAGTAGAGATGGGGTTTCATCATATTGGCCAGGCTGGCCATGAACTCCTGACCTCAAGTGATCTACCCACCTAGGCCTCCCAAAGTGCTAGGATTACAGGCATGAGTCACTGCGCCCGGCCCACCATCAGCTTTTATACAAATCTTAACCACTTTTCCTCCTCACATAAGCCCCCAAAGAGCACAGGGCTTCAATGGGAAAACTTTTGCTTCTTCTTTTGTCACTGCTTTATTTTATATTTCGGAGCTATCTATACATCATTTAAAAGTATCAGGGCTCCAAAAAGGTCTGCAGAAATAAAACTGTATATATTCAAATTTTACATGTTGGCAAAATTATGCTTGGGTCGGAATTACTGAATTATACCACAAGTTTTACAAGTGTAAAATATTATGTGTGAATATTTACCATATATCTCAAGTTATACAAATAGTAAATGTCTGACTGCACTAAGTCTCTCTGATAAATTGCTTTGTAGAATCTTTTATGAATTTTTTTCAAAATTTAAGATACAGACAAAAACTGAATATTTAGTTCCTCTAAGATATTGATCCAAGCCTAGTATAGAAACAAAATAAGACTTTCTATAAATGCTCATTAATGAACAGATTTTTGGGCCCCAGTGTAGCATTCTGCACCCACTCTGTGTCCTTACTCCCTTCTCAGCTGCCATGACTCCTGCCACAATCTCCTGTGTACCTCACCTCTTTCCTGAGGGAGCTGGGTATCCTGGGGGGTCCAAAGCAGCTGGCTTGGTGGTCCTGAACTCTCATCTGACAGCACAACCTATCGCAAGGCATAGAATGAATTCAGGGAAGTTATGAAGGTGAGAAAAACACATAGGAAGATGCAAGCAACCATACAGGTCTATCCATGGAAACTGTCTCCCAGAAATACCAAAAGAGGGAAGAAAATAATGGACTCAGTTCCTAATACCTTATGAAAATTAGAAATGGCATCTACAACTACAAAGCTTTAATGATCACCTGGTCAAGCAGGAAAAACGGTATCTAGGAGAAGATACCTCCAACAGTATCTACAGTCAGACACACCACCACTCACATTGCTTTCCTTCTTTCTTGGACTCACTTCTCCTTCTTCCTCCTTGTGATATATCACAGACCCTCCTCTTCTTACCTCCTGCATCTTTTTACCCAGGTTTCTTTAACAGTCTTCCACTGCTGTCCTGGTTTCTTCCTACTGGTCAGATCCAGTTCTCAAACAAGCTGTGAAGTGGCTCCAGTTGATGCCAGCCTCCTTTGGAGAACACATATTTTGGTGGTGCCAGCCAAAGGGCCCTTCTGACCCACAGGGCAGCTGCTGTTTGGCTTAATGTGTCAAACACTGCCCTGGATTTGGGTTTCATTAGCAACACTAAACTAGCTGTGATCTCACTTCTTGTTTCCTTGCATATTTGGTGAAGGGAAAAGAGGAATGTGACCACAGAAAAAAACAGGGAGTCACTGAGAACCTAAGGCAGGAAGACAAACTGAAAATGTGAACATATCTAGAATACAATCTCTATTGCTACCACCTTTTTCTGAGCCACCGTCACCTGCTATCTCCCCTCCTTTCCATTACTGTGGTAGCCTTCTAACTGGTCTCCTTTCTTCAATCCTTGCCTTCCTCCTGTCTTTCTTAATAGAGCAGTTTGAGTGGTCCGTTTACAACTTGAGTTGGATCATTTCATCTTTCTGTTGAAAACTCTCCAGTGGCTCAACCTTACTTAGAATAAAAGCTGAAGTCCTTACAGAGGTATGCAAGGCCCTATTGAATGTGCCCACTACTTCTAACTTCCTCTCCTGCTCACTCAAAATAAAAGCTGAAGTCTTAAGAGTGGCACACAAGTCTACGGGATGTGTGATTCTCAACACCTTCTACTCTTCTCCCACTCCCTCAATCTTCTTCAGCCACACCGACCTTCCTTCTCTTCCATCTTAGGGCCTTTCCATTGGCTGCTCCCTTCACCTCAAGCGATCTCCACGGCTAATAATCTTGCCTCCTTTAAGTGTTTTCTTATATGTCATCTTCCCAAGGAGGTCTACTCTAACTAAGAGCCTTATTTAAGATTGCAACTTATCCCCTCCTTCCAATCCTGATGTGCCTTACCTTGCTTTACGTGAATTCTTCTTTTTCTCTATAGCGCTTTATCACTTTCCAATATGGTGCATAAGTGACTTATTGATATATACACTGTTTATGGTCGTTCTACCCCTGCTAAAATGTAGGCTTTTAGGCTCCGTGAGGGCAGGAATTTTTGTCGTCTTGTTCACTGTCGTATTCTCAACGCCTAAAACAGCGCTTGCAATAGTATGTGCTGGATTAAAAATTAGCTGACTGAATGAATATATGAATGGATGCTGTAGAGAAGAATAAAAAGAATGGGTCAGGGGTGACAAGAGCAAAACTCCGTCTCAAAAAAAACAAAAACAAACAAAAAAAAACCCAGAATGGGTCAGGGGCCCCTGGGAACAAGACGAGGGGAGGAGGTAGGGCAGACGGGCGGGAAAAGCTCATTCTGGGGAATGGCTTCGAGGGAGGAAACCGCAGTAGACCCCCCTCCTCAAATCTGGCCACAAAGCCCCGCCCCTGCCTGCAACCCCAGGGGCCCGGGTATTTAGGTGAGAGGGGCGGCGGCGCCAGACTCCTCTCATCTGCAAATCCCGACCCACGCCGGCCCAAAGCACAGACCTTCCCGCAGACACTCTCCCCAAGAAATGAGAAACAGAACTATACAGAAGCTCCACTTCCTAGTCCGCCAATTATCATTTCCGGTGATTTTCTAGGAAAAGCATCAACTCTCTGGTCTAGGCGTTCCCTCAAACTCTCCGCCCTCTTCGTCGCGGCTCAGCCTTCTAGGAGTTCTCGTGCGTTTATGGCGGGTGCAAAGGGATTGCAGAAATGTTGCACTTTTGCCCCATTTTTCCCATGTAGAGGAACCTCTAGATAGGAATGGACAGAAGTTTGATAACAAATATGTGAAAAAGTTACTTTTAAATATTAACTAAGAAGACAAATAATTGAATTTTTTTTCAAAAGCAAAGATTATTTTAAGCCTATGCAGAAGTCGAAAGAAAAGTATAATTAACCCGCATATATCCATCATTTACATTTAAAAATACATAAAATTCTGCCACACTTGTTTCATCCATCTCCATTTTTTTCTTGCTGAAACGTTTTAAAGCAAACCCCAAATATGTTACTTTCAACTTCATTATGCATTTCTTTTAAAAAGGATATTTTCCTACAGAATCACAATACTATTATCCCATTTAACAAACGAATTCCTGGTTATCATCTAATACCAAGTCCATATTATATTTCCCTAAATATATACATATGCTTCTTACATTTGTTTTCTTTTTCATTCAAGATCTAAAGTCCATATGTTTACTTTGGGCATGTGTCTTAATTCTTTTAAAATTCACATCTGAATTAGTTCTACCTTCCATCCTTCTCTTCCCCTGCCCCTCATATAGTCAACTAACTGAACAAATTGGGACGTTGTCCTAAATGTTCTACATGCTGGCTTTGTCTATTTGTGTCCCCATTTTATTAGTTTCTCTAGCCTTATATTTCCTGTAAAACTTGATGTTACCTCTAAAGGTTTGATTAGAGTTAGGTTTAACTTTGTTGGTAAGAATCCTTAGGTGGTGCTGTATACTTTTTGCCATACATCAGGGAGCATATAACGTTTTTGATGCTAAGATTGACCAACGGGTTTAATACTTGATAGCTGAATCCCTCCATGTAAACTTTCCCACTGGTTTTTAATCTGATAGATTCAGCCACCGATGAGTTTTGCCAAAATCAACTATTTCAATAGAGGTTGTAAAATTGTAATTTTTCGAATTCAGTAAGTTTTTCACATTTATTAGTTAGAATTCCTCTATAAAGAAAAACTTTCATTCATCAATTTAACAACTCAGGGCTATTCGGTTATCCTGAAATGTAGTTTGTACAGGAAAGACAGACTATTTAATTTTCAACATAATTGCCAATTTTCAGAAAAAGCAGTTGTGCCTTAGGTGCCATCAATGGTAACCATCTTACAAAATGTGATAGCCATCCTACAAAATGGCTGGCTGGGCCCTACTGTCCAACATTCACATCCTTGTGTAGCCCCCTTCCACATTGTACCACGGTTGGTTTGTGTGACTGGATGATCTGGTAAAAGTGATGCTATGTTTTTTTTAATTTGTTTTGTTTTTTGAGACAGAGTCTTGTTCTGTTGCCCAGGCTGCAGTGCAGTGGCGCCATCTTGGCTCACTAAAGTCTCCACTTCCTGGGTGTAAGTGAGTCTCCTGCCTCAGTTTCCCAAATAGCTGGGACTACAGGCATGCACCAGCATGCCCAGCTTATTTTCATATTTTTGGTAGAGATGGGGTTTCACCATGTTGGCCAGGCTGGTCTTAAGCTCCTGGCCTCAAGTGATCTGCCTGCCTTGACCTCCCAAAGTGCTGGGATTACAGGCATGAGTCACCGCACCTGGCTGATGCTACATTATCTCCAATATTAGGTTATAAAATAATCTATGACTTCTGTTTTGGTCTCTTTTTCTTTCTTAGATCACACAACCGTGAGAAAGCCAAATGCCATGTTGTAAGGAGAGGCCCATGTGGTGAGGAACTGAAGCCTCCTGCCAGCAGCCACATGAGTGAGTTTGGAAGTGGATCTTTCTATGTTAGTAAAGCCTTCAGATGACTGCAGTCCCAAATGATGTCTTGGGTGCAACCTGAGGATATACGCAGAACCACCAGCCAAGCTGCTCCCAGACTTCTGGTCTGCAGAAACAGGGGAATGGTTTTGAGTGAGGAAACTGCAGCCGATGTTTGGTTCTACGTTTTAGGATAGTGCATCAGTTGATAACTAATGCAGAATTTTGTTTTCTGTTTTTGCACATCTAATGTGCACTAATGCACAATCTTTTTGTGCAACTAATGCAAAATTTTTTCTTTGTGCACAACAAGTGTTCTGCATCAGTTGATAACTAATGCAAAGTTTTGCTTTCTCTTTTTGCATATCAGTGTGAACACATGGATTTAAAAAAGTATATTCAATGAGTCTCAATCAATTGCAGTCGTTATTCTTTTTAATGTTCAAATTATTTCATCTTTGATCAGTGGGAGTCCCTTTATTTTATCTCCTGTGTCCTTTTCATCCAACTTTAAGTGTCTTTGCCTTTTTCCTTTATGGCAAGATAAATGTTTCAGACACACGTCGTACATTTCCTGCCTCAGACCTTGAATCAGCCATTTTTCCAAGGTGTTCTGGTGCTTTCAGTGGAGGCAAGGATTGCATACCTTTGTGAATAGTCATGGTTAGCTGCTTAAAAAATGTATCAAAATGAGATAAAATTTGCTTAAGTATGAGATTAAATCCAGGCTACCCCACTCACAATATGTGTGTATCGTACCTTAGACACACCCTAGTTTGTCTATCTACAAAATAGGTCCTGTGTAAATACCTAAATTTCAGAGCTGTTATAAGGATAAATAATATGGAAATATAATGTGTTAAGTTATGGAAATCACTTAATACAATGCCTGGTATCAAATTTCATGATCAGAATAATTGCAAACCTGGAAGATACTATAATGGAAATGAGGCACACTTTCTTCATTTTACACTTGAGAAAATTGAGGCCCAAGAGATTAAACACTTGCTTGAACATACAAAGGAGGATAAAATTAGAAGAGAATCTAATGACTTCACACTCTTGGATCTCATACCTAGGCTACTTTGGATATAAATGCAGCCTTTCCAGCCCAGTTGGGTCTTGTTTATTCAACGACAAAGGAGGTAAGAAAACACTTGGCACAGTACTAATAAAGTGGTATTATGGGAAGTGCAACAACTTTATATTGAGAAGATTTGGTTCCTGATTCTGCAACTTGTTAGCTATGACACTGTGAGCAAGTTACTTAATTTCTCTCTGTCTTAATTGCTGCATCTGTAAAATAGCGAAAACAAGTCCCTTATGCACAAGTTCATTGTGAGAGGGTTAATATACACATATTGTATATGAAAATGCTTGACCATATTACTTGCTGAATAAAAATCATTATACAAAAATAATTTCTTCAATCCCCCAATTTTATAAATTTTTTTTCTCGTCTAATGGAAATTGGCATTTTAAGTAGAATGATCCCTAAGGATACTAAGTCTATAATTTTGTAAATGACCTCAGTGAATACTGTGCAAAGGCACTGTGCAAGGAGCTACAGGGGAGATGCTATGCATGGTCATCTACTCTCTAGGCTGACTGGGTACAGTCTTTCTTTCCAATGTTAATCTACTTAACAGTAATAATCTCCAGTTCACATATTTTTGTGTGATACATTCATGAAAGACTGCTATACCCTTTGCTGTTATAAAAATACTTCCACAGTAGACCCTTAGCATATACTTCAATAATCTTGTTCGATTGACAGACATTTATTTACACTATTTGTTCTTGGCTAACCACAATCGCTCATAAAATATCTCCTAAAATAATTAATACTGGAATTTTGCCAAGGATCCATGTCAAATTTTTCACCCTGTTAATTCCACAGTCCACCTTCTTACTTTTTGAAAATTTGGATATTTGTCAGACTTGGGCATTTGTTGCACTACTCAAAAATGGACTTCAGGGATCCTGTGGCCAATCTTCCTGAACTTTAGGATGCTTTAAGCTGGGCATGAAAACTTGTAGTTACTCTTTTACTATCTTCCTTACGTAAATGTTTGTCCTACTATTCTCAACTTGAAGGTCATGACACTTGATGGAGATATGAAAGCCTGATTATGTTAAGTAATTCTATGGCCCTTCTGCCATCTGTCAAAATTACAAAATTCATTTCCTGGGGCTTTTGGAAAAAAAAAAACAGCAAATATTTCAGGCATATTAAAGAGTAATATAAAGAACACTAAACATCTAGCTTAAGACATAAAAGGTTATACACACAATTAAGTCACCGTGTTTACTCCTCACCAATTCCTTCCCCCTTCCTTCGCAGGTTAACTACTATCTTGATTTTGATGTTATTATTCCTATGCATGTTTACATATTTTTAGTACATATGTGGGTAGCCACAAATATTATATAGTGTAATTTACATGTTTCACAAATTTTATACAAATAGTTTCACTTTGTACATATCCTTTGAGCTCTAAAGACTTGATTTCATTTTGGTTCATATTTTTGGCAGGAATACATTATAGGGGTTACTATGTAATTTGTACTCAACTTTACGGTTCTGAGATTTATCCTTCATGAAAAATGTGGCTCTAGCTCATTCATTTTAACTGCCATAGACAGGTCTTTTCATTTTCCCTCCAATAGTCTTTTTAATTAACCTGATGGTTTTTCAGTTCAACTCAGAACTTGCTAGTATTTTTTTTTGTCTTTGATATTTCATTTAAAAAATATTGGCAATCTTTTTGAAATAATTGTTTTCTTCGAATTTTCCCTTCTAAAAGGGTAATTTCCCGTAATTTTTGGTAGAAAGTTTACATTCTAATGTGGGAAAGAACAATCTAAAAAGTATTTACTATGGTACACGGAGGAAACTTAAACGCATATTATTAAGTGAAAGAAGCCAATTTGAAAAGGCTACATTCTGTATGATTTCAAGTATATGACATTCTCGAAAAGGCAAAACTATGGAGACAGTTAAAAAGATCATGTATGTAGCATCTTAAACAAGGAAAAAAAGATCAGTGGTTGCCAGGAGTTGGAAGGGGAGAAGGATGACCAGGCCGAGCACAAAGGAG